CAATATAATGATAATATATTCTAGACAAAAAATCATTTAGAATTAACGAATAACATAAATATTTAGCTAAATCATATCTTTCGAATCTCAATTCTCTTGAAATAATAGAATTTCAAAGGAAAAATAGACCCAAATCTTTCAAGAATCTGACACTAATCAAAATGAATTTCTTTTGACATTAGTAAAAAAATCAGCTTAAATAAGGCCTAAGAGTACAAATTTTATTAATAAATGTACATTATACGCAAATAATTAATTAGAAAACTATAAATTACGCAAAATTTTTCATCCAATACAATTTCGTATTTGAATAAAAAATAATCGTAATTTCAGTAATTATATTTTAAAGAATAATTGCTTATTTAATAAATATATTTTTGCATTATTAGCGATGCAATTATAAATATAATACAAACTTTTCTGAACTTTTCTCAGAAAAATATTTTGAATATATTGGAATATGAATCGCTTAAAATTGTTTCGGGATTATAAATCTATTAAAAATAAAGAATCTCTAAAAATTTTGAATTGATAAGTATTCAATTTATTTTGGATTTTTAATAGATGCCCGAATTTGTTGCCAGAAGAGCATTTAAGCAATTTCAATTTAATAGTATTGTGGATGATAAAAAGATCAAAATCAGCGATGGAAATCATCAAATGGAAGTTCCTTTTAAAACATTGTGTTCATATAGCAGGAAAGTTATGAATGACTACATGCAAGGAGAAAACATTGAAGAATATAAACTAAAAGGAGTCAGTGATGAAACATTTAAAATCTTTTATCAACTTTTTATAAAAAACAAAGTTTCTATCGAAATTTCTGAAGATATTCTGAAAGAAATATATCAAATAGGCATAGATCTCGAGATTGAAGACTTTTTCGATTGGTATAGTACTCTTATTTTCAGAGATGAAATAAACTTAAAAAATATAGAAGAAGTCCTTTCATTTATAAGAAAATCGCGAAAGAATTACAATGAAAAACTAGATGACATTATCATATTCATAGCGAAAAATATTTCGGAAATAGAACCATCAAAACTTATTGATTTATGTCGTATTGGTTCCGAAAACATATTAAGCAATCAAGATTTCATCGATAAAATCATTTCAAAATGTGAAGAACTCGGATATTTTCAAGATGAAAACAAAGTTGATAAAGTATATGACTTCTTGATTGCGTTGATCAAAGATTGCAGTTATTTTGCTTATTATATCAATAAATTTGATGCTGAAATGATTCGATCCTCAGTAATGAATACGTTATTGGATCTTACTTCGAATGAATCCTACAAGAAGTATCAGAATTATGTTTTAGAAATGCAGAAAAAGATCAACGAACTTGATGGAAGGAATCCGAAAATAGTCAAAGCAAGATATGAACAATATGAATCATTTTTGTCTATTATTTGTGACAAAATTCATTCAAATCAAACAAATGATGAGTTGATCAATAGATTCTTAGATATCTTCCAAATTCAAAACAAATTTGATGATATTTATAATTTCCTTTCGCAGAGAGCAGATGTGAAAGATGAATCGACAATAAAAGTTGCATGTACAATCGGATTATCAGAAATCGTTGATGATCAACAAAACACAATCCTTCTCTCTGCATGTTTGAAGAACAATTACAATCTTGTCGAATCTCTTATCAACAACAAATGCAACAAAAGCAATTAACAAAAATAAAGACAATGCAGTTCTTTAAATCAAGTGGCAGCACAAAGATATTCGATTTTCTCATTAAAAATGGCTTAGATGCTAAAATATCTAACGAAATCACAGGGAGAAATGCCGTTTTAACAGCTTGTGAAAGCGGAAACTTTGAAATGATTAAGCATCTAGTATCTCAAGGCTTTTTCAGACTTAGACAAAGAAAATCAAAATTGTATACTTCTAGCTGTTTCTTCTGGTAATTGGGAAATAATCCATTATTTAATTCAAAATGATGCAGACCCATCTCTACATTCATCAAATAATGACCTTCCTATTTTTAGATCCGTAAGGCTTGGACATCTTGAGATTTTCCAGAATTTACTTATATATTGTCACAATTTTGATCCAAATGCTGAAGATGATTTTCTTACAATTGCAATTTCTCATCAAAGATACAAAATAATAAAATACATTATCGACAAAAAATTAGTTAGAATTAAAGAAAAACATAAAAATTTAGTTAAATCGTATCTTTCGAATTGCGATTCTCTTGAAGAAATAGAAACCATAAAGAAGATTGACCCAATTTTTTCAAGCAATTATAAAGCACAGGAATCTACTAAATCTGACGCTAATCAAAACGAATCAGCATATGTTGATATAAATCAAAATGAATCAACACCTGCTGAAACAATTCAAAATGAATCAACATCTGTTGATATAAATCAAAATGAATCAACACCTGCTGAAACAATTCAAAATGAATCAACATCTGTTGATATAAATCAAAATGAATCAACATCTGTTGATATATCAAAATGAATCACTGCTGATATAAATCAAAATGAATCAACACCTGCTGATATAAATCAAAATGAATCAACATCTGTTGATATAAATCAAAATGAATCAACACTGTTGATAAATCAAAATGAATCAACATGTGTTGATATAAATCAAAATGAATCAACATCTGCTGAAACAATTCAAAATGAATCAACATCTGTTGAAACAATTCAAAATGAATCAATACCTGCTGATATAAATCAAAATGAATCAACATTTTCTAATCAAACTCAATCACAAACATCCGACACAGAACAACCAAAATCATCAAAATCTAGTAAAAATAAGGACAGCAAAATAACTATTGATTCATGGCTATTTAAAAGATCAAAATATCGAAAAATTTTCTTCTGTATGACGACTTTAATTATACTAATATTTATATTGATTCATTAATCCAAATTGTAAGTAAATTATTATTGCTAAGTTTATAATATACTAAAATACTAGTTTTCATCTCGTAAATTTATGAATCTCAATTTTTTTGAGAGTATCTGAATTCATAAAGAATAATCATAAGCAAAAAATAATTGATTTCTATATGAATAAAATAAATCAAAAATCAAGAATTCTTCTGGATTCGGAACAATCATCATCAAATTATTGTTTATCATCTTGCAATTGCATTGATCTGAAATTATCAGAGTCTTTAACATTGTCTTGAGGAACTTTCTTATATGGCAAATACTTCAATACTCTCTCATGAACTTCATATAAATTTGAAGTATTTATAAGTGATCGGTGAAGTGATTGTGAAAGAAAATGACTTGACTCAGTTCAAACTTCTATAGACACCGTATCTGTGAGGTTTTGCAAAGAACGAAAGAATGAAGAATGTTTGGAAAAGTGTTAATTTATCTTCAATTTTTTTGTAATCTTTGAAGAAATATTCGAATTCCTCGTTTTTTATTCTTTAAATCAAACAACATCTTGGCGCTTATTAAACATTCTTAATTCTCCTGATCCAACAACTATATATGCTATTTGTTCATTTTCAAATAGAGCAAATGTCAGATCTTATTTTAAAAAGTGACAAAATATAAATTTTTTATTGATTCCAAAATTCATTTAGTTCTACAATAAATGTAAAAACATTATCATGTACTGACGGAATTCTTGAGAAACAAGCTATTGAAAGTCAGTATACAACAATTATTATTGACAGTAGTTGTAGAATTTTATCAACACAGTGTATTGATTCTTCTTTTATAACAAATGTTACTCTTTCTGACACAATTGTTGAAATACAAGATGACCCAATCATCAATGCTCCTATTAAAGAAATTTTCTTACCTAAGTCCGTCAAAATTATCAATGAATTGGATCCTTTCAATGCATTGAGATCGCTCGAAAATATATTTGTTGATGAACAGAATCCATATTTTACTTCGTTAGATGGTGTATTATACACAAAAAATTTCGAGGAAATAGTTCATTATCCATCAGCTCGAACTGCAAAAGTATTTTATTTACCAAAAAATGTTAAAATCATTAGAGACCAATCTTTCTCATACCAATCTTATATAAATTCGCTAATATTTCAAAATGAAATCACTTATATTAATCAATATGCTTTTACTAACTCAAATAATTTACGAAATTTTATTTTCCCATTGGGAATTTCCCTTCCTGCTGCAATTTCGGATATACTCAAAAGTTACACTATTTCATATTATTCAATTGAAATACACACATGTCCAGCCTATTGTTATAGATATTTATTTGATCTTAACATCCTAATGAGTATATTTATTATTATTTCATAAAGAAATAGAAATAAAATTAACTTAACTAATGATTTATCCAATTAATATATCAAAATTCAAAGAATTTTACTTATCAAAGAGAATGCTTAGACATCTTGAGGTTTTCTAAAATTTCCATTTACAATTGATGGTTTCCTTACAATAGCGATTTCCCATCAAAGATCCAATATAATGATAATATATTCTAGACAAAAAATCATTTAGAATTAACGAATAACATAAATATTTAGCTAAATCATATCTTTCGAATCTCAATTCTCTTGAAATAATAGAATTTCAAAGGAAAAATAGACCCAAATCTTTCAAGAATCTGACACTAATCAAAATGAATTTCTTTTGACATTAGTAAAAAATCAGCTTAAATAAGGCCTAAGAGTACAAATTTTATTAATAAATGTACATTATACGCAAATAATTAATTAGAAAACTATAAATTACGCAAAATTTTTCATCCAATACAATTTCGTATTTGAATAAAAATAATCGTAATTTCAGTAATTATATTTTAAAGAATAATTGCTTATTTAATAAATATATTTTTGCATTATTAGCGATGCAATTATAAATATAATACAAACTTTTCTGAACTTTTCTCAGAAAAATATTTTGAATATATTGGAATATGAATCGCTTAAAATTGTTTCGGGATTATAAATCTATTAAAAATAAAGAATCTCTAAAAATTTTGAATTGATAAGTATTCAATTTATTTTGGATTTTTAATAGATGCCCGAATTTGTTGCCAGAAGAGCATTTAAGCAATTTCAATTTAATAGTATTGTGGATGATAAAAAGATCAAAATCAGCGATGGAAATCATCAAATGGAAGTTCCTTTTAAAACATTGTGTTCATATAGCAGGAAAGTTATGAATGACTACATGCAAGGAGAAAACATTGAAGAATATAAACTAAAAGGAGTCAGTGATGAAACATTTAAAATCTTTTATCAACTTTTTATAAAAAACAAAGTTTCTATCGAAATTTCTGAAGATATTCTGAAAGAAATATATCAAATAGGCATAGATCTCGAGATTGAAGACTTTTTCGATTGGTATAGTACTCTTATTTTCAGAGATGAAATAAACTTAAAAAATATAGAAGAAGTCCTTTCATTTATAAGAAAATCGCGAAAGAATTACAATGAAAAACTAGATGACATTATCATATTCATAGCGAAAAATATTTCGGAAATAGAACCATCAAAACTTATTGATTTATGTCGTATTGGTTCCGAAAACATATTAAGCAATCAAGATTTCATCGATAAAATCATTTCAAAATGTGAAGAACTCGGATATTTTCAAGATGAAAACAAAGTTGATAAAGTATATGACTTCTTGATTGCGTTGATCAAAGATTGCAGTTATTTTGCTTATTATATCAATAAATTTGATGCTGAAATGATTCGATCCTCAGTAATGAATACGTTATTGGATCTTACTTCGAATGAATCCTACAAGAAGTATCAGAATTATGTTTTAGAAATGCAGAAAAAGATCAACGAACTTGATGGAAGGAATCCGAAAATAGTCAAAGCAAGATATGAACAATATGAATCATTTTTGTCTATTATTTGTGACAAAATTCATTCAAATCAAACAAATGATGAGTTGATCAATAGATTCTTAGATATCTTCCAAATTCAAAACAAATTTGATGATATTTATAATTTCCTTTCGCAGAGAGCAGATGTGAAAGATGAATCGACAATAAAAGTTGCATGTACAATCGGATTATCAGAAATCGTTGATGATCAACAAAACACAATCCTTCTCTCTGCATGTTTGAAGAACAATTACAATCTTGTCGAATCTCTTATCAACAACAAATGCAACAAAACAGCAATTAACAAAAATAAAGACAATGCAGTTCTTTGCACATCAATCAGTGGCAGCACAAAGATATTCGATTTTCTCATTAAAAATGGCTTAGATGCTAAAATATCTAACGAAATCACAGGGAGAAATGCCGTTTTAACAGCTTGTGAAAGTGGAAACTTTGAAATGATTAAGCATCTAGTATCTCAAGGCTTTTCACTTTCAGACTTAGACAAAGAAAATCAAAATTGTATACTTCTAGCTGTTTCTTCTGGTAATTGGGAAATAATCCATTATTTAATTCAAAATGATGCAGACCCATCTCTACATTCATCAAATAATGACCTTCCTATTTTTAGATCCGTAAGGCTTGGACATCTTGAGATTTTCCAGAATTTACTTATATATTGTCACAATTTTGATCCAAATGCTGAAGATGATTTTCTTACAATTGCAATTTCTCATCAAAGATACAAAATAATAAAATACATTATCGACAAAAAATTAGTTAGAATTAAAGAAAAACATAAAAATTTAGTTAAATCGTATCTTTCGAATTGCGATTCTCTTGAAGAAATAGAAACCATAAAGAAGATTGACCCAATTTTTTCAAGCAATTATAAAGCACAGGAATCTACTAAATCTGACGCTAATCAAAACGAATCAGCATATGTTGATATAAATCAAAATGAATCAACACCTGCTGAAACAATTCAAAATGAATCAACACCTGTTGAAACAATTCAAAATGAATCAACATCTGTTGATATAAATCAAAATGAATCAACACCTGCTGAAACAATTCAAAATGAATCAACACCTCTGAAAAATCAAAATGAATCAACATCTGTTGATATAAATCAAAATGAATCAACATCTGTTGATATAAATCAAAATGAATCAACACCTGCTGATATAAATCAAAATGAATCAACATCTGTTGATATAAATCAAAATGAATCAATACCTGCTGATATAAATCAAAATGAATCAACATTTTCTAATCAAACTCAATCACAAACATCCGACACAGAACAACCAAAATCATCAAAATCTAGTAAAAATAAGGACAGCAAAATAACTATTGATTCATGGCTATTTAAAAGATCAAAATATCGAAAAATTTTCTTCTGTATGACGACTTTAATTATACTAATATTTATATTGATTCATTAATCCAAATTGTAAGTAAATTATTATTGCTAAGTTTATAATATACTAAAATACTAGTTTTCATCTCGTAAATTTATGAATCTCAATTTTTTTGAGAGTATCTGAATTCATAAAGAATAATCATAAGCAAAAAATAATTGATTTCTATATGAATAAAATAAATCAAAAATCAAGAATTCTTCTGGATTCGGAACAATCATCATCAAATTATTGTTTATCATCTTGCAATTGCATTGATCTGAAATTATCAGAGTCTTTAACATTGTCTTGAGGAACTTTCTTATATGGCAAATACTTCAATACTCTCTCATGAACTTCATATAAATTTGAAGTATTTATAAGTGATCGGTGAAGTGATTGTGAAAGAAAATGACTTGACTCAGTTCAAACTTCTATAGACACCGTATCTGTGAGGTTTTGCAAAGAACGAAAGAATGAAGAATGTTTGGAAAAGTGTTAATTTATCTTCAATTTTTTTGTAATCTTTGAAGAAATATTCGAATTCCTCGTTTTTTATTCTTTAAATCAAACAACATCTTGGCGCTTATTAAACATTCTTAATTCTCCTGATCCAACAACTATATATGCTATTTGTTCATTTTCAAATAGAGCAAATGTCAGATCTTATTTTAAAAAGTGACAAAATATAAATTTTTTATTGATTCCAAAATTCATTTAGTTCTACAATAAATGTAAAAACATTATCATGTACTGACGGAATTCTTGAGAAACAAGCTATTGAAAGTCAGTATACAACAATTATTATTGACAGTAGTTGTAGAATTTTATCAACACAGTGTATTGATTCTTCTTTTATAACAAATGTTACTCTTTCTGACACAATTGTTGAAATACAAGATGACCCAATCATCAATGCTCCTATTAAAGAAATTTTCTTACCTAAGTCCGTCAAAATTATCAATGAATTGGATCCTTTCAATGCATTGAGATCGCTCGAAAATATATTCATATGAACAATATGAATCATTTTTGTCTATTATTTGTGACAAAATTCATTCAAATCAAACAAATGATGAGTTGATCAATAGATTCTTAGATATCTTCCAAATTCAAAACAAATTTGATGATATTTATAATTTCCTTTCGCAGAGAGCAGATGTGAAAGATGAATCGACAATAAAAGTTGCATGTACAATCGGATTATCAGAAATCGTTGATGATCAACAAAACACAATCCTTCTCTCTGCATGTTTGAAGAACAATTACAATCTTGTCGAATCTCTTATCAACAACAAATGCAACAAAACAGCAATTAACAAAAATAAAGACAACGCAATTCTTTGTACTTCTATCAGCGGCAGTACAAAAATATTCGATTTTCTAATTTCAAATGGCTTAGATGCCAATTAAATTAATGAAAATTCAGGAAAGAATGCATTATTAATTGCATGTGAATGCGGAAACTTAGACTTGATCAAGCATTTAGTATCAAGAGATCCCAAAAAAGAAACTCTTTCATTTCAAGACAAAGGAAAACAAAATTGTGTTCTTCTCGCTGTTTCATCTGGCAGATGGGAAATTGTTGAGTATTTGATCCATGAAGGTGCAGATTATTCGATACAATCATTAAATAATGATCTTCCTGTTTTGAGATCAATTCGACTCGGATATCTTAAAATTTTCAAGAAATTACTTAAATATAATCATAATATTGATTTAAATGGTCAAAATGATTTTCTTTCAATCGCAATTTCCAATCAAAAGATCGATATTATCAAATATATTCTCTCAAATTGTTTAATTCCAATCAAAGACAAACATAAAAAATTATGTCAACAATATTTGTGTAGTGATGATTCGGCAGATACTGTTGAAGTCCGAAATTTAATTGATCCAAGTTTATCTTTCATTCCTCGCTCTTCAAAATCTCAAAATAATATATTTACAAATAAAATACATACAATAAATAAATAAAGAAAAAATTAGATTACAAATCATGTAGAAAGTAATTTCAAAAGATTTGTAAGTTTGAGAGATGTTTCTATAGTATTTTCAACAGACATCAATGTGCAAAGTTCGTTGAAAAGATTCTCTTTCATCTCATCATCAATTGATGATTTGTATGTAGTGAAGAAATCTAAAACTCTGTGCATTTGTTTCACACTCAAACATCCAGAATTCATCACATCAAACAAGAAAGAAAATGCAAAAGGAGTTGGTTTGATTGATACAGGGAATGCGTCATCCAAATCAAAAGCAACTAAAGGAACAGCAGAAATAACAGACTGTTCTTGTGTTAAGTGTTGTGATTGTCTGATCATTTTGAGCAACTTTAATGCATCACTTTTCGTCATAATGTTTCGGAAAATGTCTTTCAATGTAAGAACGATTTTAGTGATGTTTTCACCAACCAAATATTCATTCATTGAAAGACATTTCATCATAAGATCTGCTGACATCTTGCAATCCCTTGTGCAGTATTGAACTGTGATGTCGAAATATGATGAAACTTTTAATGGAATTTTATCCAAAAGGAAAGACATCGCAACAAACAAATATCCAGAATTAAAAACATCTGACGTTGGAAACGCGTTCAAACAATCATTTGATAACTGTTCAAGATCATCATCAAACAATGTACGAACTAAAATGGATAAAGGATCCTTTTTACCGCGAAAATAATTGTCGAAAACTTCAAGACAATTTGAAATTTCGCAAATCTTTCGGTATCTAATGATATAACTGTAAATTTCATCTGCTTGTCTTTGTTTCTTTTTGTCGGCTTCTGTTTCGCAAACATTCAATGGTAATCTGTATCTAACACATATCGATTCAGCCAATGAAAGATATTCGAACTCGATACTTTCGATTTTCATGAATTGTTGAATAACAAAAATGAAAATTTCTGCTTCAAAATTCTCAGGAAGTTTCGATGCGACAACAATGATTGAAGGAAGGTTTTCCACTGTGTTTTTCAACATCTTCGGAGTGATCTTCTCATCATAAATGAATTTAGTTACGCCTTCCAATGAAATATTTGCGATTTCAACTGAAAACTTTTCAGTAACATTAACTGTTGATTGCAAAACAATTGATGAAATATCGATTGGTGTTTTTGACCACAATTTAACATCAAATTTATTGTCTTTTGACAATCTGTTCATAAGATTAATGATTTCTTGTTCAGAAAGAAGAGGAAGACCTTTAGACAAGTAGAAAGGTGCATCAACTTCATCCCTGATCATTTCAATGAATCTTGCAAAAATTTCATATTTTTCAGGGATCATTTTCAGTCTTTTTATGCACCATTCCTGGGAAGGATAAGCAAACTTTGCACCAACGAATTCTAAGTAATTACTTGATGTCAACCTTGTGAATAAATTGGCAGAACTTGCTCCGATATCATGGCTTTTACTTGCAATCATTTTAATTGAATAAGCAACGTAATCAGCGAATCTTATCAATCGATTAACGGAACAAATGAACTTTTGTCTTGAGAAAATTCCTGCTCTCTTCATATCAATGACCCTTGAAATTGCTTCAGGCGAAATCGTCGAAAATTTCGCAACTTTATCTGTTGAAAAATGAATTTGAACAACATTTTCAATAATTACAATTTTCGTGATCAAATTGAACGGAATAATATGAATTCTCTTCGCATCAGGGACAGTTAATACATCTCCTGGTGCTTCTATTGTTAAATTCCTTCTAGAAAAGTAAAGTTGACCAATTTTGTCATTTGGCAATGTCACTTTTGAAAATTCAAAATCGTGTCTTACAGAGTTCAAAGGTAAAATCAAATCTGGATATACTTCAAAGATGTCGTTGATGTTATTTAACACGGAAATAACATTTACCCATTCATCAGTCTTATAATTGTTCAAGAAACCAGCGGAATTCTTTGTCAAATTCAGAAGAAAAACGTTATCCAATTGATCAGCAACTTTTTGATAAATTTTTGTAACTTGTGAATGGAATAAATCAAAATCAAGAATTCTTGCTTCCATCAAATCAACAACGATGTAATACTTAACATTTCTTCTTAAATGGCCTATAAAGAAATCTCCAAAATGACCAATGTCTTCTGTCTTCAAATTTTTAAGGGAAATAAGAAAACCTTTCTTTTTTGAATTCGGAATAATCGTCATCAAATTATCGTTTCTCATTTTGACAATTTCTTCATATTTCATTGATCCAAAATTATCAGAGTCTTTGACATTGTCTTGAGGAACTTTCTTATATGGCAAATACTTCAATGCTCTCTCATGAATTTCATACAGATTTGGAGTATTTATAAATGGTCGGTGAAGTGATAATTCATGTTCAAATTTGATTGTGAAAATCTTTGATTTTTTGAGAGAATCGACAAACGAAATCGACTTGACTCTATCGAAACTCCTATAAACACCATATCTATAAGGTGTTGCAAAGAACGAAAGAATAAAGAATGTTTGGAAAAGTGCCAATTTATCTTCAATTTTTTCGTAATCTTTGAAGAAATATTCGAATTCCTCGTTGAGTCTCAATTCATCAGCGAAATCAATTGCAGATCCTTTTTCGTATGCAGAAATGATCTTCTTGTAATCGATATCAGCACCGCATCTTTGCAAATAAGCTGTGAAAAAGAGATTTTTCACTCTTTCATTTCCATTTTTGACAACAAAATCTAACAATTGTCTATTCTTTCCGTAGAACCATGCATAATCAACAGCTGCTGAATGATACTCTGGTAATTCATTTAATTCAAGTAAAATGTCATTGAAATCAAATGTGACAAAATTTGAAACAATTTTATCATCTTCAACTTTTGGATTTTGATTTAAAATTTCTTCTTTCGTTATCTGTGAAATTATATTAACAGAGAGATTATCAATAATAGTAGACTGCAGTATATCAAAGAAATAATCACTACATAAATCAAAATTATTATGTAAAATATTCGAAAAAGTTTTTTCTAAAAACGTGACATCTTGTTTCAATTTTGTGAGTTCCAAAGCGGTTCTTTTCAAAATTCTAAGAATGTAAAATATATCTTCTCTTGC